GGGGGGGGGGTTGTTTGGGAGGCAACCAGTCGATGTGTCTCTCTCACATCGATGTTTCCCTCTCTCTCTCCCTTTTCCACTGTCTCTGAAGAGCAATGAAAACAATATCCTTGGGTGAGAATTAAAAAATAAAAAATGGAGGCAGTCTATATTACAAGGAGTTAACTTAGATACTTACTCTGAATCAGACACTGTTCTGAGGGCTCGTGAGACAGTGGAGAGTAAAGCTCCTTAGTGGAGATTAAACTGTTTTAGGTGAAAATCAGAGCTGAACAACTGGCATACTGTGGCCTAAGAAAGGAAGAAGGGGGGCTCCCACGCCCCACCCCCACCCCGCATCACTAGGAGTGGAGGGGAGCTGGGAGGGGTGGGGGGGACGGGCCAGCGGCCACCTCGGGCCCAGATCCCATGTGGAGGACCTATCATCATCATCATTGTCCTCAATGCAGTCACAGACCACTTCCTGCTCTCAGCCCTTCACGTGACTCATTTAGTCCTTAAGAGAGGCCAGAACTCTGACCATCTACGCAGAAAACTTGAGTAATCTGCTCAAGGCCACCCACTGAGCCCCCGTGAAGCTGGGGTCTGAATCCAGCTCACCCCTGGTCTCATCCCCTGCTGCCCGGTGTGCTGAGCCCCTGCTTTGAGAGAGCCCTTAACTAGAAGCTCCCCTGAATCTGGGGAGAGTTGCCTATAACATTAGGAGGGAGAACTTCAGTCTGTGAGGCCGCACTGCCCAGGGCTAATGGAGAAAAGACAGCAGGTGGAGAGCTCCCTGTCCCTGGAGCAAGCATTCAAGCAAAGGCTGGTGGCATCCTCCCCTGCAAATGGATGCTGAGACCAGGAAAGGGGCAGGGGGAGGGGAGGGGAGGTGGTGGGTGCCGCCGGGCAGGCGGCTGCTGCAGACCTGCTGAAGTTCTCCTGCACCAGGTTGGTGTTCATGTAGCAGAGCTCCACCTCCAGGAACTTCATCAGGGGCAGAATGGCCTGCGGGGAGGGGCGGCAGCACGTCCAGCTCTGGCCACTCCAGTCCCACCCAGTTCCCTTGCCTGACCCGGGGAGGAAGCCATGAGCCTTTGTGGGCAGTGTTTGAACTTCTGCAGGAGCTGGCCCTGCCCACAGTTGGCTCCAGTCACACTGGCCTCTTGAACCTGCCAGGCCTGGTCCTGCCCTTGCTGTCCCCTCCCCTGGAAATCCTCTCGGCTCCTTCTCTTGTTTCCTCTAAGTCTTGACTCAGCTGTCACCCACTGAGCAAGGCCTTCCCTGGCCACTATCTAAAAATACAACCCTCAGTCTGGCTAGTGTGGCTCAGTGGTTGAGCACCAACCCATGAACCAGGAGATGACCATTCGATTCCCGGTCAGGGCACGTGCCCAGGTTGAGGGCTCGATTCCCAGCAGGGGGTGTGCAGGAGGCAGCCGAGCAGTGACTCTCATCATTGATATTTCTATCTCTCTCTCCCTTCCTTTCTCTGAAATCAATAATAATTTTAAAAATTTAAAAATAAAATACAATCCTCTGACACTTCCCACGTCTTTTGTGCTTTATTTTTCTCATTACCACTTGCCATTGTGTAACACACTGAGTCTGTGTGTGTGTACACAAACATGCACACGAGTTTAGTTACAGCTACACCTCTAGTTATTTATATACTTAGTTCTTTCACCTCCCCCACTAGAATGTAAACTCTAGGAACGCGGGGATCTTTGTCATGGTGTTCGCTGACATATATATATATTCCCTGTACTTAATGCCTGGGACAAAATGGGTGCCTAAATAATTGATGAATTAGTGACTAACCCCCCAAACCATCAATGATGTGTTTCACTATCCCAGCTGACGAGACTGAGGTCAGCTGGCTTGTATGGACAGGACAGCTTTGCTAGCAGGTAGCTGGGAAGGATGCGTGCCCAGGTCTCTTTGGCTGTAAAGCCCACACCCTGCCCCACTGCAGTCCCCACACTAACTGTGCCAAGAGAGCCCGTGGAATGTCCCAACCCTGCCCCTTCAGCACCCAAGAAGGACACTGAGGTCCAGGAGGGAACATTCCTTGCCCAGGTCTGGGGGACTTATCTCTGACACTCCATGACCTTAGGCCTCCTGCCCACCCTGAGCCCTTTGCAATTTCAGACCCATAGAGCTGGCAAAGGTCAACCAGAGGGAGGGCCACTCACATCCTCCGGCAGGACAGACTCCGGGACACCCACCAGGTTCTGGATGTGCTTGGCGATGCCCACCTCCAGCTGTGGACACAGAACAGTGTGGGGAGGCCAGGGCCTGAATTTAGGTTCAGGGAGCGGTGAGGGCTGGACGTCAGCCCAAGGCCTGCTGGGGGGAGGGAGGCTTCAGGCTGAGGATGGGTGGGGCAGGGTCACTGCGGGTTGGACAAGGCACCTGCTCGGCCAGGGTGCGGACGCCAGTGCGGATCTCGTGGCCCAGCCCCGCCAGCGCGCTCTGCAGCTGGGCGTGCAGCGTGTTCTGCAGCTGCCCCTGCTCCAGCACGGCCCCCACTCGCTGCTCCAGTGCCTCCCATGCCAGCTGGGTAGGTAGCTTGCCAATCACCAGCCGCAGCTGCTCCATGTCATTCACCACCACGCACAGCTGGGGGCGGGCATGGGCACAGGGGTGTGGGGCTTCCTGAATAGTGGCAGGTGGGCCAGCCTCTACCCCCACCCCAGTCCCAAGCCCCAGCTCTGGTCCTCACCATATTGGCTGCATGGCCCTGATCCTTCTGGCCTGCAGCGAGCTCGCGGGCCCGGGTCCTTACCAGGCTGCAGTACACCAAGGCCAGCCGGCAGGTGTCCTGGGGTAAGGAGAGGACGGTCAGTGGGGGTGGGGAGAGGCACCCAGGAGGGGCGGAGGGCGAAGGCACGGGAATCTCGATGACTTTCGGGATTCAGGACATAGGCCTTCAGAAGCCACTAGGGCAAGAACCAGGTTAGGGTGGGAAGGAGGCTGTCTTAGAAGGCGGGAAGGGCACAGGGAAGATGCTGCACCTCCACGAACTTGACGGTGATCATGAAGGCCTCCTCTGGGTCGGGCCAGTCCAGCTGCCTGGCAGTGTGGCTGATCTGGGCGAAGCAGGTGGACAGATCCACAGCCGATGTGCTGTGTTTGGTCAGCTCGCCCAGGGGCACCAGCTGGGAGATGGGGGCACAGTCAGAAAGGAGGGCTAGGGCTTGCTAAATCCATGCCCCTGCCGCCCTCCTTACTTCCGCAAGCATTCAGAGCTTCTATCATCTGCAAACACCCAGAGCTGGGCAGGGGAACAAGCAGGGCTCCCCCCAGACCCCCCCACCAGCTGCAAGGATCGGTCTGTAAAGGGAAGCCACGATGAACTCCGAGGATATCAGGAGGCAGCGTTTTGCACACACCTGGCCTAAAAGCATCCTTTATTGCCAGTTACTTGCTTCTGCACACCCTGAAGTCCCAGCAGAGCCCCAAGCCCCACCTTAAAGCCGGGACCCCAACCCCACCCAGGCCCCGCCCCCACCTGGTCCATCTGCACAGCACGCTGCACTCTCGCTAGGGCGACGCTGTACGTCTTCTGCAGCCAGGAGGGGATGGCCGGCTGGAACCAGCGGTGGAAGCCGTCCAGGGCCAGGACTCCATTCCTGGGGAAAGCCGGGACTCAGCCTGGGGAAGGCCTGGGCCAGCGTGGGTGGCAGGCCCTCCTGTCCCCTGCACGCCCGCAGCCAGCCCGCTGCCCACCTCTCTGAGGGGGCCGGGCCCATCTGGCAGAGCTCCTTGAGGCTGATGTAAAGCTGAAACAGACTCTCGCCCATCTCTGGGGACACGGGGCCGCTCACTGCCGCGGCTGTGTGGTCCTGCACCCGCTTGGCCACCTGCAAAGTGACGGGGTGGTGGGCAGGGCTGCAGAGCCAAGGTGGAAGGAGAGGCCTGGAAACATGGCAAGAGACTCACCAGCCACTGCAGCTCCAGGAAAGCCATGGCGAAGAGGTCGACCTTAAGAGCACTGTAGGAAAGGCAGCCCGTGTGACCTGGTGGCACACACTGGGGTCCCTCTGGTCCCCGCCTGAGCCCCTGTCCCCACTCTCTCCCCCCCAGCCACCTGCTCACTTGTAGAAGATCTTGTTCCACGTGTGCTGGCACTGGTGCAGGTCGCCAATGATGTCCTGTACCAGGCTCAGCAAGGCCTTGCCCGCCTCCAGCATGCCCTGGCAGGGACAGAGGTGAGTTGAGCAGGGCTGGGAGAAACAGACACCCCACCTAGCACCCTGTTGAGTCCCCTCACCTGCACCATGGGCTGATGGTGCTGCTGCTTCAGGTGGAACCATTCAACAGTGCCAGTCTGTGGGCAGAGAGGCAGTGAGCAGGGAGGATCGCTCGTTCCAGGCCCAGGCCCTCCCCATCCCAGGGCAGGTACCATACCCGCAGTGCCTCTGAGACCAGGCGGGGCAGTGGGGCACTGTCATGGCACAGCTCTCCAAAGGCCTTCATCTTGCACATCTGCACCAGGACCCTGCGAGGACAGACAGCCTGCTGCCCCCTACCCCCACTCGCCCCTCCAGCGCTTTCCCCGTCCCTGCTGGTGCCCCAGCTGCTCCCCAGCCCCTGACCCCACTGACCTGAGCAGAGACTGCAGCCGGGCGGGGGAGTCGGGGACCGAGAGAGGGAAGACAGTGCGGAACCTCCGGATGAGGGAGAGGCCGTAGGCCAGCAGGGAGTTGAACGAGGTGGCCAGCTCCTCCCGCTGCAGGCCCAGGAATACGCTGTGAGCCAAGCTGCATTATGGGGCCCGGAGAGCCGCTCCCGCTCCCTGGGCCCTGCGTGTCCCTCACCCCACACCCCGCCCTAGCCTACCTGTTCTGCCTTGAGACGGCCCTGGATCCACTGGTACTCGATGCTGGTGATGGGGTGCAGGAGGCAGCTGCTGGGGAACTCCAGGCTCTGGTAGACACGGCTGTAGGCCAGCCACTGCCTGCGGCAGACAGGAGCCCTCAGCCTGGCCGGGTTGGGCACCTTCCTTCCCACTGCTCGCCCAGCCTTGGGGAGGGACAATGCCTGCTCCTGCCCCGAAGCCTCCTGGGGATCCCCAATGACCCGCAGAGGCGAAGGGAACCCATAGGATTTTTTTGTTCCTATAGTACTTTTCAAACAGGTAAATTAATCACCCATCTCTTAAATTACGATATTTGTGATATTAAAATTCAGACTTTCTTGCTTCTGTTGAAAAATCAGATTTGGAGACTTGAGCAAACACCGGCTGGAACTTCCCTTTGGACAGTTCGAAGGAGACTGCCCAGAGGTGACGACGGAGCTGAGACAAGTTTCGGGTGGGAGGATGCATGCGGGTGGGGGAAGGAAGCGCACGAGCCGTGGCAGTGTCCCCGCCAGGACATGGTGGCCACCTGCATTACAGGCTTGAGCCCAGTGGGCAAACTATGCCCTCACCATCGGTGCCTGCTCCAGTCTCCAGCCTCGCCTGCGTCCCCCCCCCGTCGGGGAATACCTACCTGCCCACGGTCCTGAAGCTGCCTCCTTCCGCCCCTGACTCAAGTGCCAGGTGTCAGCCCCGGCCCAGGGCAGCACCCGCTGTGCCCTCCTTCTGACCCCTCAAGTGTACTGAAATGTCTGTAAGCTCACATGTGCCCTTGCTGGGCTTCCCACATTTGCTGCAGCCCTGGGAACGTGACGGGTCCTCAACCAAGAGTCAGTAATCTCAGTGTACAGATTTGCGGACTGGAAGGCAATGGCACTGGGAAGTGGGGTAGGGTAGGGGACAGGGGTGGCAAACTCAAATGCCCAGAGGACTCAGGTGATGTCCGGGAGTGATGACAATGTGACAGACTCGGGAGGACAAGCTACTCTGCTCTGACCTGCTGCAGCCCAGCAAAATGACAGCCACGCATGCGGTGTCAAGTGCTAGTGTTCCGTGAGAGGGTGGTGATGTGAATCTGTAGGGAAATCTCCCAGCTTTTATAAGTTGGTAACTAACTCAAAACTAAAGACACACAGTTTGGGCCAAACAGAAATCTCTCGAGGGTTGGACTCGGGGCAGCCAGCACACAGGTGGGCGGGAAGGGAGGGGGGTGCACTCACGCCATGGACTGGTGGAAGTCAGACAAGTCCTTCTGTGTAGCGTGGAGAAACAGGATGGTGGCAGCCTGGGGACTCAATGACCCATCCCAGGAGGTACTGCCTGCCTGCAGGGACAGGTGGAGGGGTGTCAGGGCCTGGTAGGCAGACCTAGGCCTTGCCCAGCCCCAAGAGGGCAGTACCTGGTGCTGGGTGACCTCATGGGACACGAGCTGCTGCAGCAGGTGGAGGTGCACCGTGTAGCTGGGCTGGGAGCGGCTGGCGGCAGTGGCTCTCTGCAGGAGGGCCAGCGTGGCTGTGAGCAGAGTGCCCGTGCCCTGTGCAGCCCTTCCACCCAGCTGGGCCGCCAGGAGGCCCCTGGCCCTCATCCCAGACCTACCCGCTTGTGGATGAGCTGGAACTGGAGGTGGCACTGACCACGGTCTGGGTAGGTCTCAGTGCAAGGCTCCAGGGGGTACCACTGATCCTCCCGGCAGCGCAGGTCCTGGAGGCCAAGAGGTCAGGAGATGCTCACGCCCGTGAGTGGGGAAAGGGAGGTGATGGGAGGCAGGACCCATCCTCAGCTTGGTACAGACCTGGAACCCTCCCGAGCTCCTCACAGCCCCCCTCTGCCTCTCTCCTGGGGATTGTTCCCCAACCCACTCACCTGTAGCCTCAGAACCACGTTTCCCAGAAAGTCATCCTGGCCTTTGTCCTTCCGGGCCTCCTTAAAGATCCTAGCACAGACAGGGGACATGAGGGGGGTGGGCCGAGAGCCTGAAGGGCCAGGGTAGCATCTGCCCCCCACCTGCGGCCACGGGGCCAGGACGGAGCCTGCTGCCCAGCAACCAGTGCTGGCTGCATGTTGGGGGAGGGCAGAAGGAACCCCCTCTCCTTCCCTGGGGACCCGGCGGCCCCTACCTCCGCAGCCCATGCAGATCTGTGAGCTCCCCGAGCTTCTGCCTGACAGACTCCACAGTGTCCAGGTCCCTGGTGGGGCACAGGGCTGCGCTGCAGGCAGAGGCTCCAGGGCCTGGACAGCAGGAGCAGCTCCTCGAAGAGGCTGTCCTGGGGGCTCCTGATCCCTTCAGCTGGGGCCTCTGCCACCCTCGCTCCCACCTCTGTGTCTTCCCCGCCCCCACAGCGGGGCACGTTCCTTACCACATGTCCAGATGGAAGCTCGAGTTGCTTATGTCCTCAAACTCCCTGTCGAGAGGAGGGCACAGTCGAGGGCCTTGCAGGGTAGACCCACCGTCCAGGCCACGGCCACCCCAGCCCAGGGCTTGTCTCCTGAGGCTGCGATCCCCGGGAGTATCACCCGCTGTGGAATCTTAGCCGCCTCCTGGAAACTCCACCTCCCCTCCCCTCCCGACCGCACCCCTCCTTCCTTTAACCGAAGGCTTCGGGCTGCCCCTAGACGGACCCAGCTGTGCTGACCCCTGCGCCCGCTGGCACACTGAGCAGGCTCCTCGCCGGTCAAGCCAGGCTCCCCCCCAGATCCAGGCGGTCCTGCTGATCTCACTGCCTGGGGGACCCCTACACTGAGAGTACCCCCAGATGGGGTGGCGGCTGGGACAGGGCCACGTACAGGATGAAGGTCTCGTCCCAGACAGGACTGAGAGTCTGGGTGATGACCTGGGTGCGGTGGGTCCGCTCCTCGGGGATGGTATGCCTCACCACAGCCTTCTGCTGCCGCCGCCGAGACCCGGCGCCGCCCTCCGACGTGCCCACCCTCTGCTCGATGCCCAGCAGGCAGTAGGGGTCACTGAACCCTGGGAAGGACGAGGCAGCCAGGGTGAGCTGGGCTCTTCGGGAGGGTCCTTCATCCCCCCCACCCCTCCCCACCTCGGGCTGCACGGGTAAGGAGCCGAGCCCACCGAGTGACGGGACAGACTGACAGGAGAGGAAGGAGCCAGGAGGAAGGCCCACAGCAGCCCTGCTCACCGCTGACATCCTTGCCCAGGATGCCTTTGGCTTGTTTCACTGTCGCCTTCAGACAAAATACTGGCTTCTGGAGAGAGAGGAGGGGGCGCCTGAGTCCCGGAGGGAGCTGGGCGTCCCAGTCCCGGTCCTTACCCAGGATGGCCCTGGCCCAGGGTTACCTCGAGCTCCTGGACCTGCTGCAGCATCCGCTGGTGCTCCTCGGGCTCCACGTGGAAGGCCTGGTGGGGAGCAGGGGGGAGGCTGAGGGCACGGGTGGGGAGTGGCCAGGTGGGAAGGGCTCCTGAGTCCAG